TGAAGTTATGAATATGAAAGTACAAAAGTAATAATAATACATTCAAGTTATAGATTCAGGTACATAAAGATAGAAGGTGACAACAACGGGACGGTAGTCTCCGGAATGCAGTGCCGTTTCGACAGACGTCTTCTTCTAACCAATAGTTTGATAATGTATGAAAAATTGCACTTCAATGGAAAAGCTGCCCAATTCACATGGAGTTTGATAACAGTTTCACTGCACTGCATTCCGGAGACTACCGTCCCGTTGTTGTCACCTTCTATCTTTATGTACCTGAATCTATAACTTGAATGTATTATTATTACTTTTGTACTTTCATATTCATCACAATTTTTGTTAAAGAAATATTGAGCGCACTGTGCACAGTTCTTGTGGATTTATTTTTGCTGATTTGGGGATTGGCACAAGCCATGACATATGGTAATGGTAACAGATCTCAGATTAAGGAGAAGCAAAACGAACATGGGGATAAAATCCTCCTTGCTGAAATATGCATATTTGACACCAAGGATTTCCCATGTTTCAGCCACCTGACTGTTGTGGTTTTTTTCCTTCATGTTTCCATATGATATCGTCCTCTGTAAACAGACTATTAACAGCCTGTTCTTTCCACACAAAATCTGCTTTATTTTAAACCCATTAAAAATTGGTATTTCCTTGGGCAGAATGCTATCAGTGTGAGCCATTTCTTGGGTTTGAACAGAAAACAGGCCATCGCAGGCCTTTGGTGAACTGCTTATTTTCGTTTGTTGATGATTGCAAAGGGCCAGTCCCTGGGAAGAGTTAGCATAACAGAAGAGAATCCACCTGCCTTTTAGACAGAGGGGAGGGGATCCTTGGAGGCTCTGTAAATGCAAGGAGGTTTTTTTAAAAGTTTGTTAAAGGTCAGCATCTATTCCTACCCAGCGTTACGCATGCTCATTTTTTGAAAAGCAGAAGAGAGTCACCCACAGGGCAGCCTGCCTTTTTTGACGGGGCAGGATTGTCAGAGGGATCTGCAAACACTTTTTTTTCTTAAAGGGTATTGTGTTACTTCTATGTAGTGCTGCCCTTCTCATGATCCTCAAAATAAAAGAATTAATACAGGCTGGGAGGAGAATCCTGAGGGTCCTGTGAGAATACAGCAGGGGGGGGGGACTGGTGGTTCAAGGCACATCAAGTGTGGAAGGGAAACCACCAATGCTCCCTCTAAGCTGTGGAGTCTTGTGAGCAAAAATTCTACTTTGTGAGCAACTGGCATTAAAGCTGTGAGCGAGGGATTAGTTTGCTCTGGAGCCCTCCTTCTCGAGCGAAGACAAAAATGTGTGAACCGGAGGCTAAAAAACTGTGAGCTGGCTCACACTAACTCAGTTTAGAGGGAGCACTGGAAACCACTGCTGAAAAATGGAGCAAAAAGGGACGACCCTGGGTTGTCTGGAATCTCCACCGCAAGGGCGATTCCACACAGAATCATATCGACAACCAGACTGCCATGGAAGATTACTCTGGTGTGGAAGTAGCGGTGCTGGGGAAATTTTTTAATTTATATGGGATCCCCTCTCCCTCCTTTCCCTTTTTCAGTAAAAGAAGGCGTCATGCAAAATTGTTTTGTGATTTTAGTAAGCCTTGACTTGCCTCAGTGTTTCTCTTTTTTATGGCACAGTCATAAGCATTCTAACAGCCCCCCTCATAAAGTTAAGTTGCAAATTTTGGGGTTAGAATTTTAAAAAGCCAAATTCCAAATTTTTCAAAAAAACAAAAAAAAAAAGAGGAAGAGAATTTGCCCTGGTGGGTCAAGTCTAGGGATGCACATTCGGTTTGTCTGAACCGAATGCACCCCTTTTGGGCTGCTGCGGGCCGATTCAGATTCTCTGATCTGATTTGGCTTCCCGCCGAATTTCGGCGGCAATTCAGCCCCATTATATCCTATGAGCCATTGAAGTCAATAGCAAAAACATAGGGTATATTCTGGGGGCTGGAGGGGACTTTTCCCCACCATAGAGAACAATGGAGGGGATGGGGGCAACCTATTTGGGGGCCCGTAGAATTGGACCCCCTGGTCCAATGTTCTTGAAACCTGGTGGGTATCTTGGGGGGAGGCTCCAGCAGCTACCCTGCGGGTTTGGAGCCTCTCCCTCCAACCCCCTCCCCTCCAGTCCCCAGAATATACCCTATGTTTTTGCCATTGACTTCAATGGCCCATAGGATATAATGGGGCCGAAACTGACATTGGACTGGCCATGGGCTCCTACTGGCGAAATTGAAATGTCGGAGTCTTTCTGCCGGCCAAAATTGATTCTGCCCGATTTTTTTTTTTTTTGTCCACCCAGATGGGATGGGGATGGTGGTGGTATCGATCCCAGGGGGTTATATAGTCATAGTTAAGAGACCATTCTCTCCCTCCCAACACTAGTATCCCTGACCTGGACAGTCCAGGCTAGCCCAGTCTTGTCGGCTCTCAGAAGTTAAGCAGAGTTGCCTCTGGCTAGTATTTGTATGTGTAACCACCAGTGCTCCCTCTAAGCTGCGGAGACAGCTTAGAGGGAACACTGGTTAGCATATCCCCAGGAACTGTTATTGACTGCCTCCCTGGTTTTCAGTGCTTTGTCTGTTTATATGTGGTTATTGATTTGTTGAATATATACTTTAATTCGGATGCTAATATGTTATAAGGTTTGATGTTCTCTGCCTTGGAGACCCTATTTTGGTGGGAAAGCAGCACAGAAATGTTTTAAATAAATAAATATAAAGCTCTCTGATCTATGCCGATTTCCCCACCTCCCTCTCAGTCTTTTCTCCTTCGACCAACTCTCAGAATTCTGTGTCTCACTCAGTCCTCACAAGACTTGTTTTTAGATCTTTTAAAAAAAAACCAATACGCTTTCTGCCTGTTTGCAGAGTCCCTCACACATGTAGAAACCCCTATAGGTTGTCTATGAGCTGGCCTGATTTGGGGATTGTCCATAGACATGCAAAAATAAATCCACAAGAACTGTGCACAGTGCGCTCAATATTTCTTTAACAAAAATCGTGAAGTTATGAATATGAAAGTACAAAAGTAATAATAATACATTCAAGTTATAGATTCAGGTACATAAAGATAGAAGGTGACAACAACGGGACGGTAGTCTCCGGAATGCAGTGCCGTTTCGACAGACGTCTTCTTCTAACCAATAGTTTGATAATGTATGAAAAATTGCACTTCAATGGAAAAGCTGCCCAATTCACATGGAGTTTGATAACAGTTTCACCTATTACCTTGCACAAATAATGGAGGAGAACATCTCTCAGACAGATTAAAGCTTATGTGTTCTCAAGCTTATAATAGGGCCGAAACTGACATTGGACTGGCCATGGGCTCCTACTGCTGAAACTGAAATGCCGGAGTCTTTCTGCCGGCCAAATTTGATTCTGCCCGATTTGGCTGAATCCGAATTGGGCCGATTTTTTTTTTTTTTTTTTTTTCACACCCCCAGTCCAGTTTATTCTTCTCGGTGGGCCCCAAAGTACAAGCCAGGGCCGACCCTGCTGAGCTTCCAAGATTGGGTGAGCCTGCGCTATCCAGGTCAAGGGCAATGGAAACAGTATAATACGCAAAAATAAATAATGCAGTGAAAATGTCTTTAAAAATTTACACACGTAACAACCAGTGCTCCCTCGAAGCTGCAGAGTCTTGTGAGCAAAAATCCTACTTGGTGAGCTACTGGCATGAAAGCTGAGCTGAGACAAAAACGTGTGAGCCGGAGGCTAAAAAACTGAGCTGGCTCACACTCACTCAGCTTAGAGGGGACACTGGCTACAAGTCTGGTCGCTTTAGAAAAATGTCCCCCTGCAAAAAAAATAAATTCCGTTTTACACATTGTGTGGAACGATAGGAACCTAAGAACACAGGAGAAGCCCATGTTGGATCAGTGGCCCACCCAGTCCAACACTCTGTCACACAGTGGTCAAAAACACCAGGTGCCATCAGGGGGTCCACCAAGATAAAAGGGGAGCCTTCCTATCCTCCCCAGGTAGGCCATTCTGACAGGAGACAGCTGATCCAGAGGGTGTTCCAGGACTGTTGCAGGGTGGCTCTGCCAGGAGGCATTGCTGCCTCAGAGGGGTGAAACTGTTGCAGTGCAGCAGAGCATATTGGGAGGGGGTGGTGGTGGTACCTGTCAGACCCCCAGTCCAGTTTCATGCCACAACTCTCTTTAGGCAGTGAGCGTTTATTGAGTTATGTGCAAGATCCAGAAAGTCACTTGTGTTAGAATTAAAGTCTTTTGGCGGGTACAATCTCATTATAGGAGATTCAAGCAGATCCCATCATGTCACAGCCATACACCGGCACAATTGCCATGCCAACCAGGAGAGATATATGTCCTGGTAATCTAGAGTCTGAGATATGGCATAAGAATGTTCAAGGCCACCTTCCCCTGGGAAAGCGAAAGAGGAGGGGAAGAAGGATGACTTGTGGAAAAGTTACAGCTTCTAGAAGCAAAGGTCTCATGCACTCCGAGCACACTCACCCCCCCCAATGCCCACCCCCCAAGAATTATGGCAACCCAAGCAGACACAGCAATAGCTGGGTTTGACAGTGTCCTGCAGATAAATGAGGCCAAGGCTATGAAGGGCTTTGTAGGGTAAGAACCAGGGTCTTAAGAACAAAAGAGAAGCCGTGCTGGATCAGGCCAGTGGCCCAGCCAGTCCAACGCTCTGTGTCACACAGTGGCCAAAACCCCAGTGCCATCAGGAGGGCCACCAGCGGGGCCAGAACTCCAGAAGCCCTCCCACTGTTGCCCCCCGAGCACCAGGAATACAGAGCATCGCTTGCCCCAGACAGAGTGCGCCATCTATCCCTTCAGGCTAATAGCCACTGATATACCTCTGCTCCGTATGTCGATCCAGTCCCCTCTTGAAGCTGTCTATGCTTGTAGCCGCCATCCCTTCCTGCGGCAGTGAATTCCACGTGTTAGTTACTCTTTGGGTGAAATTCCACGTGTTAATTACTCTTTGGGCAAGCTGAACCTGGTGACTGATGGTTGGCTAGTAGAGCGAATGCGGAAGAGGTGTGATGGTTCTGGAGGGGAGCTGCAGTTCTCTGGGTCAGAGAGTGCCGCTTCCAGGGGAGGGGGAAGAGTGACGGTCCCTGAGATGGTAAGAGCTCCCTCCTTTGCAGGGCTGGCCAGTGGAGCGGCGGGCATGAAGGACCTGGTCACCTACCACACCCTCATTCTGCTGACCATCCTTGGTGCCCTGGCCCTGCTGGTCCTCATTCTCCTCTGCCTCTCCTCCTCCTCCTCCTCCTCCTCCTCCTCTTCTTCTTCTGTTTTATTTTTTTTAACTTCTCACTGTGGTTTGCATGGGTGCTCCTCACAAGAATGATTACAGAGCCGGCCTTGGATTCAGGGGGCTCGGCTTTGTCATGGACTCCATGGTTTCTGTCTCTCCGAAGGGAGCAACGGAAGAAGCGGGGCTGGTGTGGGCGGGGAAAGGAATTGCACTGTGCAAACCTCAGTGTCCTTCCAAGTGCTCAGCTGTAGTAGGAGGGGGTTCTGCGGGGGGGGATTTTGAAGCTCAGAAAAAAACCCGGGTTTCCCCCCATTTTTCCCCTGGTTCCACGTGTTAATTACTCTTTGGGCGAGCTGAACCTGGTGACTGATGGTTGACTAGTAGAGCGAATGCGGAAGAGGTGTGATGGTTCTGGAGGGGAGCGGCAGTTCTCTGGGGGGGCCTCAGTGGACGTTTCTCTGTGATGACGAGGGCAACAGAGCCCCGGAGCACACGCAGAGGGCCTTCTCCACTGAGGGAAGCAGCCACACCCTCAGCTGTGGATGGTGGGGGGAAGCAGGGGAAGAGTGACGGTCCCTGAGATGGTAAGAGCTCCCTCCTTTGCAGGGCTGGCCAGTGGAGCGGCGGGCATGAAGGACCTGGTCACCTACCACACCCTCATTCTGCTGACCATCCTTGGTGCCCTGGCCCTGCTGGTCCTCATTCTCCTCTGCCTCCTGATCTACTACTGCAGGTGAGTGCCCCCCCCCAGAGCCCCTCCGCCCCTCCTCCCATTGCACTGACTTGAGTCTAAAGTTGTCCCTCACTGCCAGTTGGATGTAGTGGTTAGGAGCGCGGACTCTAATCTGGGAGAACTGGGTTGGATTCCCCACTCCTCCACTTGCACCTGGCTGGATGACCTTGGGCAAGCTATAGTTCTGATAAGAGCTGTGCTTGAAAAAGAGTGGTTTCTGTCAAGAGCTCTCTCAGCCCCGTCTACCTCACAGGGTGCCTGTTGTGGGAAGGGGAAGGGAGAGGAGTTTGTAAGCCGCTCTGAAATAGCCCTGGCGGTAGGCATTGACGGTCAGACTTGAGACTTGAGAGCAGCACCTTTTAAGTTTTGAAAATCAGAGGCTCTCCGTGACTGGCGGCGGGGCAGAGGTCCCAAGAAAGGGGTTTGCTTCCTTCAGACACGAGTGCTTTCAGACGCCTTAGCGGAAGATGGCATGGGAGTGCATCCCGTGGAGGCAGCATCCTTGCCGTGCTTCACGGAGCCCCGGCACCAGAAGAGTCCGTCCGGACTAGCTACTTCGACCTCACTCTGATCGGTCCACCCAGCCCAAGCTCCCAGGGGCCTCAGAAGACAGGCCTGTGCTGTTCACGTAAGCCGGCCACGCTGAGCTGCAAAGAGCGTTCCTTCCCAAAACCAGAACGGGGATCAGTCAGAGGAGGCCGGCCACGCCCATGGGGAGGGGTGTGTGTCGTCTGTTCAGCCGTAACCGTGGCCCCCAATACCCTGTCTCCCCAGTGCTCCAGAAGAAGAGGCAGATGGGGAAAATAGCAGTCCTTGAGAAGTGGGAGGAGGAGGATGACCGGCAGGCATCTAAATAAGACCCCACAATCTGGGTTGGCAACCAGTGCTCCCTCTCAGCTGTGGAGTCTTGTGAGCAAAGATTCTACTTTGTGAGCTCCTGGCATGAAAGTGGTGAGCGAGCGATTTGGCTAATGCACCAGTTCGTTTGCTCTGGAGCCCTCCTTCCCGAGCAGAGAGGAAAAATGTGTCAGCCGGAGGCTAAAAAACTGTGAGCTAGCTCACACTGACTCAGCTTAGAGGGAACACTGCTCTGGAGCCCTCCTTCCCGAGCGAAGACAAAAATGTGTGAGCCAGAGGCTAAAAAACTGT